GCACATTTGCATTCGTAGAATACGGTATTTTCCATAAATATCAACTTTCGTAATTGAATTTACAGTCTTTTGAGCGCTTTTTTGTTTTTGACTATTTACCTTCGTACATATTATCACTGTTGTTACATATATCTCTATAACAGAAAAATATATAGAGGATAACTTCTTTTTTTTTTAGAGCTGGATTATGGCCTGCCTGTATTTGTCCAATATTATTTGGCTCGGATGTGCGCGACACGCGACCTGGTATGTGCACTGATACTAGGGTTGCTCTTAGCAGATTGATACGGTTTCCCTGCATGCCCTTAGGTATGTATGCTTGAATCAACTACTCACATCTACTTTAATGCTTTCCGACTATGACGGATATATATAAGGGTCGCTGAGCTGCTTCATTCTAACCTACTGTCCAGTCTTCTTCCCTCTCCAGTCTTCTTCTCCATAATATCCTTTGTTCTCTTAAGAATTCTTAATACTACTCTAGCTAATTCCCAGTTTTTTCCTTATGGTGCTCAATTGTTTTAGTAAGATGCTGAGGAGTTTGAAGTCTTTTTTCTTTTTTATGCGTTGGTTGTTAGTTTTGTTTAATTATTGAACTTTCAGAAAGTGCTAAAATGGAAAACTACTTCGATCCGAAACTGTGCGACGACCTGCGCACCCCTTCTCCCGGGGGAACTTTATTCCAGAGGGGAGTCGCCACCTATGAGGGGACTTTTAGTGATGATGAGGAGGTTGTGGTGAAGGTATGCGTCAACTTTAGTAAAATTTGAAATCTACTACTTTTATCATGCAAAAAATACTTCTAGAAAGAATGTGCCTTCTGTCGAGAAGAACGCGAGTGGACGCGTAGTAAAGTAAAAGCCAAATGAGAGTAGCTGACCAGGAGGCATGTTTAAAAAGCGCGGATGATCAGGTGGCGTTATCAGGTGTGTTTTTTTTCAATTCAAAGAGTATTAGAAAGTAATTTTTTTGTTTTTAGGAGTGCTTTATTTGCGGGAGCAGATTTCCCGCCTAGGGATGGGGATTTGTGGGGCCGTTTTTCCTCAAACTCGTCTCATCGCACTACCCTTTACAACAAGAAACCGTTCTGCGGTCTTATCCAATGTCTTGTTGTAAACCTAACAGCCCGAGGACTCGAGGACGAGCTACTTTTGGAAGAGGGAGTGAACCACCACTTGTCGTCACCACTTTCCCTACTGTACCGCCAATTTATGAAAAGTGGGCTCAGTAAACTTGGGGTATTTCTCTACTGTAAATTAATCGGTCACCGACCTTATGACATCAATTATGTATCTTTACCATTGCTGGAAAGATATGGTTCTTCCAGTGTGTCGCAAATGAAACAACGCTGTGTGTGACGAGGCGGAATCAGTTTTCGGATAACTCTCCGACCTCATCCTGCATTTATTATTGTCATTATGTCATTCGAACTATATTTCTACTACTCGATTCTGGAGGACACGCCTGGAAAGATGCTAAGAGCTCGAGGACGAGCTCACTCGAACGAATGGAGATGTCGGGTCCACGTCCACTGTGAAGGGGCGTGGCCCAGGTTACGGTATCGAAGGAGGCTGGCGTTGGCTAGCCGGGGCTCGGGAGTGATGGTCCAGCCTTGACCATACTCACCCCGCTTCACGACCCTTTTCTTACCTTATGTTATATCTAATAAATATGTATAGCCTCATTATCTTTTTATACATTTTATACATACAAACCGCTACTCACCATCAGATGTAGGCGTCATGAACCTATTATCTGATATGTCGAGTCCACGTCCACTGTCAAGGTTCTGCGGTTGAGCTGCAGAAGGAATTTTTGAGTATAGCAGAGTAAAGGATTGGAAGAAGAGTTTGGATTAATGCAACCATCGAGAACTTGAAGAAGCCCAAAATATTGATGTCAATTATGGACGGTATCATCGAAGACTGCAAAAGGAAACATGACGTAATCTGTCGATAGTAGGCGATTGGTTTCTTCGTAAGTATTAGGTTGGAAAGAAAGTTCTGCAACACTCTTTCTAAAATTTTCTTTTTTTCTGAAAAATTCATAGGTAACATTTATGACTAACAAATGGTAGAGCATTCTCGAGGCTTCAATCCACGAGGTGGATATAAGTGCTGCAGTCAGTAGTTATCCAAGAAAATTCAAAAACCTCGACCACTAGTAAATCCACACTCCGAGTCACTGTCTAGTACAAATGTCTACATAACTATGGATTCGTGTCAAAGAACCAGCACTATCTGCAGCGGCTTCAATGGGCATAACGTTCACTGCTACAGCGTTGTTTCACCTTTACCAGCGCTTCCGATCTTTATATTTTATAAGAAGCCAGCAGCGTCCCTCACACTCCATTACAGGTAGGGCTCTTACAGAAGCTCCACTACAAATTCTTCGTTATGGGCACCATTGTGTAGGTAGAGGTCTATGCTGCGAAACTCCAGAAGTTGGTCGAGGCAGCTCGTCGTATCGCGACAATATTCATTTCTTTCATGACATTGCGAATCACCATGATCCGAAATGAGCCCGGTAAGAAATTCTGGAGTTGCGGCAAGATTTCTTTCCTCTCTTAGCGTATTCCCCTGGTCGAGCTGTAAATGACTGCCACCTATCCTGGACCTTTAATCATCATCTTGATGACGAAATAATCAGACGATCAACTCCAACTCGAAAGTGAGGTCGCCTCCTTTCTCGACTCGCACTCCGCTGGGTTTTGGCGGAGGAGGATCAAGAAATTTTCTGAGCGATGGAGACAAGTGGTGGACACTCATGGTAGATATAAGACCGGTCAGAAGTTGTAACCAAAAAAGATAAAATTAAAATCAAAAATTTGAAAAAGTGTTGCAGGACTTTCTTTCCAACCTAATATAAATGTAAGTATGTTGCTTTGTAGGAGACCAATCTATCGACTTACGAGTGTCGTTATGGCATATGCGGTAATTTTTCGAGGAGGCGACCTACGAGCCTAGTGATATGCGACCGGACTGACCCTAGGGGTCGAAGGATGGGGCGCCCTCACTATGAGGGGAAGAACAAGAAGGAAGAAGAGAAGGAGTGGAAACGAAGCTTCCTTCCTGTTCTTGTCTATGTGGCTGTTATTGGGGTGCTATTGTTATTTAGGCCTGGTTATTTCCTATTTATTTTCTGTTTCAAGAGGACAAAAATTTGTAATCGACAGTTTGATTGATTGGATTACCATATAATGTGAGGACTTCTCATTGACATGCAAGTCTCCGCTCGAATATATATTTACCGGAAGTTATTGATTTTGTCGTTGTCGAAGTATTCTTATTTCAGCAAGATTGGGTTGGTTGTAAGTCTCTGTATCGGAACATGAAGTTGTGGTTAATGCTCGTAGAAGACTTGAATCAAAATGTGGTTGTTTACTATGTTGCTACATGTCAGCGGTGACGTTGCCTACCAAACAACGCCGCTTCTCCAGATTAAAACAGCGTGCTAATAGTTGGCGTATAAAAGGCAAGATACGCACTTGAAACAGCCGCTCGTTAATTCTTGTTTGCTATCCAGAGGTCAAAGATACTGTCGTCTGCAGGACGATAGCATTATCAGACTTGGTTTCGCTTGGGGTTAGAGCGTTCATACCGGTGCCCAGGACATTCTACGGCGACGCTGGCAGGATCAATTCTATTCAGCCGGACTTGTCAGAGCGACATACTGGCGACTTCGCAAAGGGCATCCAAGATATGACACAGGCGCCTGTGTATTTATGCCGACTCTTGTTCGAGATAATCACTGTTCTCCGAATACATTTCTGCGACGCGTCTTAACACTACACACTGTAATGCTCGCTTGGGAGTTTCATAACACGGTGAGTAGCGGAAAGAGGTGAGAATAACTAGTTCTCCATGATGGTCGGATTAAATGGCCAACGGATCCTTGAAGAGCATAAAACGGCGTGCTGCAATACATTGGAATCAACGCAGGAGTGCTTTTCGCGCACTGTAACTCAATTCAAAGAAAAGAAGAGAAAAAGCGTCCTTTTTCCTTCAATTTTTTTCAGATTTGAACTGTCTTTTCTTTTATAATACAAGTATATAGAAAAGAATATCAATTGATAAGAATACCTGTATACAGTTGATTGTTCCTTGAATGTTGGTTCTCAGGGGTCTTCTGATCTGTCGACTTATATCAGGCGAAGAGGGTAATGGCGGATAGGGGGGGTTCATTTCAAAACAATGAGCTCCTTATAAATTTTTTTATTTACTGAGAGAGAAAAAATTTTGAAAATAATCTCCGCGGGTGCTCCATATCAGATTATAGGTTCATGATGTGTAAAAAGATAATGAGGCTATACATATTTATTAGATATAACAGGTACGTGAAGCGGGGTGAGTATGGTCAAGGCTGGACCATCACTCCCGAGCCCCGGCTAGCCAACGCCAGCCTCCTTCGATACCGTAACCTGGGCCACGCCCCTTGACAGTGGACGTGGACCTGACACGGTCACTACATCATTGAGCGATAGAGTGATATCACAAGTGACCTAACACTGGTGAAATTGGCTGGTAGAGAACAGATCAACAAGACAGATATCGAGAGCCTGGTTCAGAGCATCTCTTAACTCACTGGAAGCTTGTGTAGGCCTACCGATTTTAGATTCTGAAGATATTGCCGTTTTCAAAATGTGTCCACATACTTTTGATACAGGGGTACAGTGAGACAAGGTTTTTCCCCAATTAAAAAATTAAAGCTGCATGTAAATGGTGAGAAATGAGAAATTCTAAGGTTTTCGCATACGAGAAATTGAATGGTGGTGGTCGCATGGTGCAGAAGTCAACAGTTTTCGAGGAAATGGAAGAATTTCAGGGTGTCCACATACTTTTGGTACGCACTGTATATGTCCGCCCACTCGTTGAGGCTGTCGCTACAGTGTTTCACTCCACCACGAAAAGGATACTGATGCAATATTAAAAGCGCAAAACAACTTCATACGCGAAATCTTACTGAGAACTAGCAGTTTTCTCTATTCTAGGATCCATCCTATTCTAGGAGGCTCTCCTCTCTCGGAACAAATATTTCGGGCTCCCTACACTTGAATCATGGCAAAAAGTATTTGATGTATGCATGGTTTATAAGCTTTTGTATCAGTGTAATGAGTTTGGCTCATTTGAATTTGGTAAACTCCGCATTCCCGAACAACAGGAGATCCAGTTAAAATATACCCTGCCAGGCCCCGAAAAAAGGTAAGAGCCAAAAGTTTCATATTTCGCGGTGGAAGTTTATATAATAAAGTGACTGAGAATTTGGTTGTTCCTGGTTCCTTAGAAAGGTTCAAGCGACATATAGCTGCAGTATTACCTGAGCACTCAACTTCCTAGTTTTGAAATCTACCATTTCTTGTCCTCGAATGAGGATACTTTCTTATTCCGTTCTGTGTCATGTAGTATTGGCTAATTTGTTACATGCTATTTCCTTATGTCCGTGTTTGGCTCTTATGTTATTTCGCATCTTGTTTTCCTTTCTTTCCTTGCGTTTGCCTAAGCAACGTAATAAGCATAAACGCGTTCTCGCCGAATCTCAAGTTTCCAAGGATTGTCCAAACAGCGTTCTTATTCGACAGATGTTCGAAACAATGAGCGTGTCTTCACACTGGAAAAGGTTGTCGTGCCTTCCGGAAAAGCTCCGTTCCAGTTCTCTAACCGATAGAGGTCCAAGGAACAAGGCGCTCGGCAGATCCCCGATTCCATCAATCACGACGTAGGGCTCTGCACTTCTCGGCACCGGT